TCAAGGTTTCTCACGTTATGATATTGAACTCATTTGGAAACAGTCAGGTATAACATTACCTTTTGAAGAAATTTGGGAAGCATATAAGTCTCTCATCTCTCCTCGTTCATACCTTGAGATTCATATCATGACTAATACCATTAAAGTCAAAAATATTCCATGGGAACGACCAACATTGTTTTAAAGTTTAACCTTCAATTGACTGATGGTAAACAAATTCCATGCATCTCTGTCGCCATTTCTGTTAATATTTTTGCTGTCATTCATATCATCCACTTCCCCATCCGTTAGCTTTTGAGGATATGCGTTAGAATAGCTGTTCTTAAATGAAGGCTTTTCACCTTTGAGAGCATAAACTCTATAACTTTCTGCATACTTTATGTTTGAACCTCCTGAGCCATCATTGACATAAATTTTTATAGGCTTCCACCCTTTGTTCATGTTCCTGCTTCTTCCCTTAGCTCTTTTGTTCAGTAGTTCTACATCTTTATACACAGCACCTGTCTCAGTGAATTCAACAATATTTTCATTCGTTAGCTTTACATTCAAACCCTTGTCGAGTATATTGTTCATTTCATACATATAAAAGGTTTTTATTCTATATGAAATGAGAAGCAAATCCATCTTAGCTGGTGCCGTTAATGTTCCAATTGAACCAACATCAAATGTTGACTCACGAACGACAAACAATATTGTCATAAAGAACTATAGTTCAGAGTGTTTGAAAGAAAAAGAACCAGAACTGAAATCCGTGAATTTAAACTCAGCTTCAAACGCTAACGCTACATCAGATGTTAAGTTAGAGTATCCACCACTGGACCAAATTCTTTCAAGAGAAGCCAACGACAACCCTTACACAAATGTTCAAACAAATCCTTCAGATAACGTAGACCATTACCTTCTTCAGTTATACCAAACAATTTTACTCAAAGACGATAAGAAGCTTTTGACAAATCTTATAAGCAAGAACCAAATAATTCTAACAAAGGAGGACCTTGAAAATGTTATCTCACGAATAACAGGGAAACAATGTGTCATTGACTATCTCGACCCTGAAATCGAATGCTGTGGTCAAACGCCACCATTCATGAAAATAGGTAACATCCGCATCATTGAAACACCAGGAACTACAGGAGTTGAGTTTAAGTATAAATATTCGAACGAGTATACAAAACTTTCAACAGAATATAAGCTTTGTTTGAAATATGTTTTAGTAAATTAAAGCAATTTGTAATATCTATCCAAAACTTCTTCAACAGTATCGAACTCATCTTCATAATGCAAACCTAATCTTATTGACTTGGTGCAGTTTTCACTAACACAATATAGCGCTTTGCGCTCGGCGCCTTTGACGCCTTTTTCTGTTCTCTTGACTGACATAACTAACTCATTTGTTTCATCAAACAGCAACAACCAAAGTTCATGACCTAATACATAACATTCATACTTTATATTTTTAGCTCTGAGTTCTCTTGTAAGCTGTTGCATTTAATATTTTCTAAAAAGTCAACTTCAACAGTCATTCGCACTGGTGCCTTCAGTTCTACAGGCTCTCCTTGAAAGTCAACAAGTCTGAATTGCATGTCTTTCAAATTATGAGGACTAATGCGAACCCATTTACCTAAATGAGTTGCTATGACAGGAACGTTTGGAATGAACATTGAATTGACTGCATAACAGAAGGATTTATATTCTACTGAACCTTTACTATTAACTCCTGAAATACCTGTGACATTAGCTATTTTTGACTCAATGTATAAACAATTACCATAACATACGTATGGAACAGATTTCATCTCAATCGTTTTGTCAACACTTTTCAAAGGAAATGTCATATGGTATGCCCAGAAGCAATTGAACTCTATGACTCATTCGTGTTATCTTAAACTCCTTCGCATAACTGAACTTCAAAACTCCTGCAATAAGTTTAACATTCATTAAGTTTTCTTCGTTCTCCTTGTTTATTGTAGTATTTATGAGCGCATTTAACACTCCAGCTAATGTTTCCATCTTATATTCTACATTATTGTGAAATCTTATTTCGTGCTTCTTTCCATCTATTTCAAGCTCCATGAAATCTGTTTCATCTGTTATAACAAAAGCGATAGTATTGAAGTCAACACTCTGAAAGCAAGCGCTCATTCTGAAGACCTAAGTTTGTTTGTAGCTTTACTGTCCCGTATTCGTTTGGGTCTGTACTTTGCAAATAGAACAACATTTTATTCTCATTAAAATATGAGTATGCTGCATATGCGTATGAAGCTGACAGAGCTAAACGTTTATATTTTGGTCAATACTCTCTCACACTTACTGACAAATATATTGTTATCAGTGATGGAAATACCGAGAAATACATAACATGGAAGGACTATGAAAAGTTTGACCCTATTTTAACTCCATGTACTATGCCATTCATTGTAAATGGTGAAGTTGTCATGAAGAACGACACAACAGTATATAAGTCTGTTATGAAGCGTTAGAATATATGTTGAATTATAATCCCGAAAGATTTGACCCAAGCACTACGTCATGTACAATGCCTTTTATTAAGGATGGTGAAATCGTAAGAGTTCCGGATTCAACGGTTTATACTGCTGTTCAAAACAGTTTACAAAACATTTTAGCGAATATCTTTAATTCAGAAACTACAGAAATAAAATTACCATATATAACAGATGCTAAAGAAATTAAATCAAAAACGACAACATTATTTACGTCACTTAATGATTTAATGACTTATATCATTAATATTCCTGCACCAACTACAGCATTTGATCCAAACTCGACGGTTTGCAGTGTACCTTTCATAAAGTCGCAAACGGACTCTTTGAGTCCTGAAGGTCTTTCAGACCGAAGCGACCAGGGCGAAGCCCATGACAGTTCATTAATTGTTTTAAGGGATTCAACAGTTAATGAATCATTAAAGGCGTCATTAATGAAAATCATTGATTTTAACTCATTCACGAATACATATAATTCATTCATTAATGTTTCATATGCTTCTAAAGAAGGTGAGCCAAAAACTATCGATAAAGCGGTGTATGAAATAAAAGCATCAACGACGAAATTGAATTCGTTAACTTTTGACGGTGATAGTTTCGTTAATGACATAACATCGGGGAAAACAATTTTAACGAAAGAATATTTAAAATCTCATGTTAGTGAGTTCGTTGAAATTGAAAAAGAAGGTGGAATTAAGTTCGATCCACTGAATTTCATTTTCAGCTTAGCGAATGCGGGTGTTAGTTTCGCTGAATGGACAACTATACAGAGTGAAATAAATGCAATATGGACGTTTTTGGGGTCAAAAGCGGGAATGGGTGAGCTTGTAAATGCTGCAAGAACATTAGGTGAAACAGGAAATTTTGTAGATGGTTTTAAAAGACTTGTTTCAAATGTTTTAACAAACACAAAGAAATTATTTAGATATACCGTACATAACGGACGGATTTTCGAACAGGTAGCAACAAACCCTCCGGTTATGGCTGCGTTGATGATGGTTAGAGATATAAAACCACGTAACGACGGGAACGAAGAACATGAACAACAGAGCCCAACGGGCTCAGAGCCACATAGTGGCGAGGATACTGGTCGGGTTATTCAAGACATTAAAAACGTGTATCCTGAAGTTATTGATTTATTTAGAGGAGTTAATGATTCAATTTTCAAAACATTCTATAACCCTCGATGAAGAGAATAAATTAACAGATTATATATTCGTCATTATTGCAGAATTAATGAAGAGAATAAATGAAAAAGGAATTGGTGATATCATTAATGTCAGCGATGTAATGATGAAAAGAAATTTTGACTCATTATTTACAAAACCGAAAACAGAATATAGTCTTTATGACGTAATTACCGAATTAATGAAAAAGATTAATGATAATAAGAGTTCTGGCGGAAGAGTTGAATTAGAAGTGAATGATGTTAATGAGAAATTAGCCGAAAAAGCAGATAAAAACCACGTTCATTATATAACTTCAGACGAACAGATTATAACGGACTACCATGGATATTTAACACGAAGTGATGAAGCGAAGACAAAAAATGTTAATGAAAGAAGATATAAATACATTCGTGCTAAAGGTTATGACATAAGCTGTACTGTACAGTATGATGTAGCTAAAGCACCAGAAGCATTTGGTTATACCGGTGAAATTTATGCCTCTACTTTCAATGTTAATGGTGTATTAGTTGAACCAAGATTTACTTTGAGAGTTAAGTCAAAAATAACGTTTGAAGATGCTATTAAAAGTAAAGCTGACAAAGATGAACTTGACGCAACGAACAAAGTTTTGAAATCTCATAAACACAACATCTCCGATATAAATGAACTTCAAACTTCTTTAGACAGTAAAGCTGACAAGAACCATACACATAAATCCTTCACTACTGTTAGAGCAGACGACATAATATTGAACTATACCCTTGGTTCAAGTGCACCTTTAGAGAATCCAAGTACAAGCGTAAAAGATACACTAAACTCCTTAAATAACAAATGTATGAACATTGAAGGTCATGTCAGAAACTTTGAAACACATGAACTACCAGCAATGTTAGATAAGAAAGCAGATAAGAACCATACACATGATTTCTTCACAACTGTTGGTATAGAAAGTATTGAAGGAACGGTTGAAGAAACTGGTGGGGATGCATTATATTGTAAACCTCCTAACTTTCCACAAGGTTTAACATCGGATGACGACATAACGACGATGAGAAACATTAGATGTAAAGATGTTTATGTCATGAAGGATGAACATAATGTTAAATTCACTGCTCAAGATTTATATGACAAGAAAGCTGACAAGAACCATACACATAAATCCTTCACTACTGTTAGAGCAGACGACATAATATTGAACTTTGACCTTGGTTCAAGTGCACCATTAGAAAATCCAAGTACAAGCGTAAAAGATACTCTTAACAGTTTAGATAAGAGTTGCAGGAACATTGAAAGTCATGCCAGAAACTTTGAAGCATATGAACTACCCGCAATGTTAGATAAGAAAGCAGACAAAACTTATGTAGATGCAGAACTAACAAAGAAATTTTCGAAACCAGATACAATGACATTTACAACAGAAATTATAAATGGTGAACCAGCAACTCCATTTGAATTTGTTAGAGGTCTTCAACCAGATACTTTTGAATTTTTCTTGGATAATTCTATTGAACTAACATTACATTATAAAAGTGGAACAAATGCAACATTTCATCCGGGAGATACATTCCAAATGGTATTTAATGACATAAGTTCTTTAGAATATGTTTATAGAGTTATGAGCATATATGATTTAATATATCCTATAGGAGCTGTTTATACGTCTATGAATCCAATAAATCCAAACACTTTATTTGGTGGTAGATGGTATGAAATAGTTGACAGTTTTCCATTCTACACTAATACTCAGTCAATGAAGATGGGAGGTTCAAAGAAAATAGGTATTGAAAACCTTCCTTCACATATGCATAGGTTCAGTGGAAGAACATCTGTGGAAGGAAACCATTCACATTCAATAACAAAAAGAGGTTATACAAATCTTGCAGCGGGTTCGGATAGACAGGGAATGCATAGATATGATATCACAACTGACCCCAAAGATGTTAGCACAGGTATTTTCTGTGGAACTGCAGGAAATCATACACATGTTGTAGCTGGTATTACAGACCCAGCAGGTAATGGAAAAGATTATATGCCTCCTTATATAACAATGCACGCTTGGATACGAGTTGGTTAAAATCTTTAACTTTACATAAATGAGCTTGAAAGAAGTATTCGAACAACATCCATGGAGGTCATTTAAGAAATTCAATGAAGCTGCAAAGAGTTGGGGATTTACTAACAGAGCTGAAATGAAAAGGTTCTTTGACAAAAATGTTGTACATCAAACAAAAATAAACCCTTACGACTACTTTTTACCAATTTACTCCAACACTCCTGACGCATACCAATTCGTGCACCTTTCATTCAAAGCAGAAAAAGAGGACATAAACCATTCCTCATCTTCATAATTGTTAACACTCGCAAAGCTTTTGCGATATAATGAGAAATAAAGGAAACTCGCTGAAGTGTTAAGAGTTTTACAAAATTTGTAGCAGAACATAACCCAAGTATTAACATCAGACCAAGAAAGTGCATACCTCAGCAAGAAATCACAGAATTTCTCATTAAGCATAACATAACTCACTACACTACTGAAGACCATAACCATAACATACTCGGATCATTAACCGCTTCATAAGACTCCAGAGATTTAAATCAAGAGCGAGACTTTACCGAAGAAACAATGAAACATTTCTCGAAAGTTTAAAATCCTCAACACATTCTACAACAGGACATACACCAAATTCAATGACACAACAACAAGAGAAAAAGTATATACAAAAGAAACGAAGCCAAACACAAAATATCAGAAATTCAACACAATTTACCCTCATTCCTGGTACAAAAGTTCGTGTATTCTTGACGACAAACCGTTGACAAAAAACGTTTAAGGTTAAGTGAAACTATTATATCGTAGACTTCTACCAAGGTAATGGATATCTTATAAAAGCTGCTGACGACTCCATAGCATTTTACCCTCGACATAAATTAGTGAAATAGTAATGGCAAACTTGCTGAAACCATTGACGAAGCAAAGCGAGGATGTGTTATTGAAATACTTGCTATAACACAAACGATGACATTATAAAGTAAGATATGAAGGAGGCGTTGAAGATGTTATACCATCTAAGAACTTAGAGAAATCAAGCCAACACATCTGGGACCATTAGAGCGGGGATACTGGAAAGATAAAAACATGCCAGAAAGAATAAGAAAAATTCTTCTAAACTTTTTCATTAGATGTAAATCAGACATGAAGAGAACCAGTCATGGAATTATTAATGGTACCATTTATTTTTTGTCATAAATTACACCAAAAATATAATTTAGTGAAGAGTGAGATGTACCTGTTTCTCACCTCAGCGCTAAGCGGCGAGACCCAAAGGTGTCTGAATTTGTATCATAACTTCTTCGTAAATGCTTTGTCATAATTTCGTAAATGCTTCTTCGTAAAGCTTCTTCATAACTTCTTCTGTATATGGTCATATCCTTCGTAATGCTTGTCATAACTTCTGCGTAAATGCTTTGTCAAAAACTTTTCTAAATGAGTGTAAATGACCAAATAAATATAATTTAGGTGAAGTAGTGAAATTTCACCTCTTTTTTCACCTGTTTTCTCAGTTTTTCACAAGCGTTTTACATGAATTGTACGATGTATATTTGAAATCCTAAACAATTTCGTAGCTTCTATTTCTTCTGTCAGTATGTCAAAAGTTTTAACAATGCCGAAAGTTTCTTTATATTTCTTCTGACGTCAGATAGAAGGAAATCGTCAGCAGTTGGATAGTTTTTGTTCAGAAATTCTAACATGTCCATTTTATTTTCTGCTGGCTTTTTCTGCTTCTTTCTTTAAGTCTGCATAGTCGTTTCGCATTCTTTCTATCTCTTTGACGGAGTAGTTATATTTCCTAATTGCTGCTTTACATTTAGAACATTGCGGATTCATTTTTGCGTTATATTCTGAAACCTTACCTGCTAAAACAACTAAGGCGTCAATGGTTTTCTTTAACTCAAAAGCAGTTGGTCTTATCTGTTCGTTCCATATTTTACCTCTTCTATCTTTATCTCTTATCTGCCATACACATTCAGCAACTAACGAAACAAAGTTATCGTAGGTCTTAAACTCCCCGGATTTATATATGTCAGAAACATTCTTATATACCATGTCGCAATCTTTGTCCATAACCTTATGGTTGCAATGAAATCCTAGAAACTCATAGTTTACCTTTCGAATGAACTTCTTTATTTCTACTGAGTCAGTTGGTTTCACTTCTATTTCATCGAATTCAGGAATAGTTAGTTTTTGATGCTGAATTTCAGGTAGTTTAGGTAAATGGTCAATAATGTCCTGCATTTCATAAAGATACTGTTCATTTGTTTCATCTTTCGCACTACAGTCTAAATTACTTGTTAAAAGTTTGCTTTATCTTCTGGATTTTTGTTTCGAAAGTATATGAAGAAGGAATGAAGCTTTTCATCTCTACTAACATAGATGTTGGATTCATGACTAACGAGTTTGGTGAAGTTGTTGTGGACAGAGTCCCGCCGTTCGCGGCTTGAATTGTTGTTGTGCCGATTGTTGAAATCATATCTTTACATACAAAATAAAAAAATAAATAAAAATAAAACTAACGTTATTTTTCTATCTTAAGGAAATTCATGAAAATTCATGAGGGTGAGAAATTAGGTGAAAAAAGAGGTGACATCTCACCTCTTCACCTATAATATATTTTTGGTCATTTACACTCATTTACGAAGAAGTTATGACAAAGCATTTACGAAGAAGTTATGACAAAGCATTTACGAAGAAGTTATGACAAAGTCACGAGGGTGAAAAAAGAGGTGAGAAAACAGGTGACATCTCACCTCTTCACCTAAATTATATTTTAGGTCAAAGCTTCCACGAGAGAAAAGATTCCTCATTCGCTAAGGATTCCAAAAATGAAAAAATCATTGATTTCGGCTGAGAAAAAACAGCAAAACCCTTCTTCCACGGGAACAAAGAAATAAAGAAGAAATAAAGTAAATTTTTTATTTATTCCCGTGGAAGATAGAGCACTTTTATGACACTTTTTATTCACGACAAACAAGACAAATAAAGAAAATAAGAAAATACGGCGCTGTCGCGGTTCGAACCACAGACCTGACCCCTCCATAACACCACCTTAGACCACTGTGCTACGTAGCCTGTCGACATAAGATTTTATAAATTGCATATTTGACGTAAATTTATTTCCATCTGGCTTCCCACTGCATAAGATATTCATACGTGTTTGTAAGACATTCATTAAACTTCTTTTCTATTGCATCTAATCTTGCGTTATTTTTTTCAATAACTTGTCTGTATTCTTCATCATCTCCAGCAGTGTTTGGGTCTTCACGTTTAAAATATTCATTGTTAACCAATTTTTTATCTACAAATTTTATTAGTGTTTGATTCACTTCGTTATGATAACGGTCATATTCTTTCAATACGTAAGTGAAGACAAAATGCGTCGTACCTTCAATCTTAAAGCTTAAAGAACTTTCAACACAGTTTTGAGGGTCTGTCAGTGCGTCAATGAGATAGTATTCGAAGTCAGTCAATAATCTTTTTAAAGTCATTTCATACAGGATAAAATTTAATGTTGTGAAGAAATAGTGTTTATCTCAGAAAAAATAAAGTTAGTTTTTATTTTATTTATTTTTTTATCCTGTATGTAAGAACAGTAATGTCAACATTAGAGAACACAACAACTGCTATCGTTCATGAAGCCATAAATGAAGAATACGAATACATACAATATAACAAACAATTGAGACTCATTCGTTCAGTCAAAGATGATATGTATCAAATGCAAAGTATAATGAACGCTCTTCGTTCTACAAAGCAAGCATATCATTGGTTTGAAAACCAACAGGCAAAAGAACTTTTAGAAGAATTTCCTCATATGATTGCTTCCCTCGGAAAACCGAGGGAAGAGATTCCGTACGAAAATCGCAAGAATTTGGCACCTGGTTTGAAAGGTTATTATGTTCATAGACTTTTAGTAAATGCTGTAGCAATGTGGGCTTCACCTCGTTATGCTTGTTATATTTTCATGATGTTAGATGAACTATATAAAGCAGAACGTGGAGAGATGGAAAAGAAACTTCAAGCAAAAGATGAAGTCATTGAATCCAAAGACAAAAGCATACAGAAAAGAATACCACGTTCAGTACCAAAAGGAAAGGAAAAGAGTTATAAGTATATGATTTATACTGAAGAGTTGGAGAAAGAAGAAGATAGAGATATGGTTATGTTGCATTTAGTCAGAAGAAACAACAAAAGCTTTTACGACCTTGCTAAAATATATAAATCTGACAGAAACTGGTTCTATCGTGAAAACTTACCGATTTCAATGACACCGAATGAGCAAATAAAAGAAATTGTCAAAAATACTCTTCCTCAAACACACTATGACATCAAAGGTTGCACAATACTTACCTTCAAAGAAGACTTAACATTACTGAAGGAAAAAATAACAGAATATTTCGATAACTTCAAAGAGGAAGAATGAAGTCACGACAACATTAACGAAGAAGTCACGACAACATTAACGAAGAGAGAATGAGGTGAAAAAACAGGTGATATCTCACCTCTTCACCAAAAATATATTTTTGGTTAAATAGCTTCAGGGTCAATTTCTTCAACCATTTCACTTCCTTCGTCAATGTCAATTGAAGCTTCTTCAACCTTTGGTAAGAACTTTTGTATAACATCTTTGTTCGTTATTGTCTTCAGAGATGAAGGATAATATTTCACAGATGTTTCACCCTTCTTATATTCTTTCTGTTCGGAAAGATTCATAGCAATACTGAAGAAGTCAATGTTGGAGTTCTTTATGACAGTATAATGTGTATCTTTGACATTCACGAAGAAACTCTTTTGTTTCAAAACTACTGCTAACTCTTGTGAAGTATAACGTTTGCGGTCAATGACGATAGCTAATGGTCTGACATACTGACCAAACTTAGATTCTTTCACAAACTTCTTGTTAAAGATAACATTAACGTTTGAAGCATTATTGAACTCATTCTTGATGGCAGTAGCGAGAGCATTGTATGAAAAGAACTTGCAATCTTGCATGTGTTTCATTAAAATAAAAATATTAA